CGTACCGAAATTATTCGGTACGGGCCCTTCGGTTCGGTACAGGTGTGTACCGAAGTGTACCGAACGAATATAACGTTAAACGTAAAAAATTGAAAACGTGAACAACTTTTTGGAAGTAATCTCAGGTGCTGCGTCGCAGCATTCAGAGTAATTTGCTCACATTGTGTTCAACGCGTCATCGAGCGAGCAGGTCATTTCATTGGATGAGAGGCATACTATGAGAGCGGGTCAGAGGGATGCGTTCAAATGTAGTCAGTAATTTGAGGAACTGTCGAAAATTAATGACGAACGCAGATAATGTTGAGCTAGAAAATCCTCCAGCATCATTTAAGTCTCCGGTTTGGGAACATTTTGGTTTTGCAGTTACGAACAAGGATGACGGACAAAGACAGGTGGACCGAACCAAAGCTGTTTGTCGGCATTGTTCAACTAACATTGGTTACGCGGCTGGCAATACATCAAACTTGCACACTCTTGAAAAGGCATCACTCGAACGTGAATATCACCGGTACCAAAAGAAAAAAGACTGAAGTGCAAACCCAACTCCCGCTAGCATGTAAGCCTCCACCACTCGCAGAGAGTTCAGACCGAGCCAAAGCTATTACAAACGCCAAATATCCTTATGTTGCCATGTTAGCAAAGCGCTACCTGGCTGTATCTGCTACCTCTGTCCCTAGAGAGAGGGTGTTCTCCACAGCAGGAGACATTGTTAGTGCCAGCAGATCTGCCCTTTCAGCAGCAATGTGGACAAGTTCATCTTTCTTTAAACAACATGAAAATACAATGACAAGCAAGTCCTAATGTCAAACTGGCTGCTTAGGTACAGTACAGTTCAAATACAGATTATTTCAGTTCATCGAAATGCTGCACCTTAATGTTCATTTTATTATATTTTGTATTTATTTGAGTGAATATTCACAGTTTAATAATAATTAAAAACCCAAAACTAATAGTTTATGTTTTGTGAGTACTAGTACAGTAAAGTTCAAATACAGATTATTTCAGTTCATCGAAATGCTGCACCTTAATGTTTATTTTATTATATTTTGTATTTATTTGAGTGAATACATTATTCACAGTTTAATAATAATAAATATATATATATATATGTTTTGTTTTGTGAAAAAAAATTCTGCTGTACCGAAAACGTACCGAACCGAACCGTGACCAAAAAACCGAGGTACGTACCGAACCGAAATGTTTGTGAACCGTTACACCCCTATTACTTAGATATTACAATATGGTTGGTTGAGCTGGAGTTCATTATTGAGCTTACATGTTAACGCCACAGTCATCTGAAGAATGAACCCAAACCTTGTTCTTTTTATTAATTACCAAATTGGTATCAAATAAATAGTAAGCATTGGTAATACCAATGCTGATAAAATAAACTATTTTATTTGAGTATTTGTGTCTGGGAGAAGGTACTGTACCCAGTTCCTATGTCCAGCAGCTATAGACTGGGCTTTCTTGTACAAGAGAACAAAAAATCAATATGGACCATTACTGTATAATTATCCTTAACTTATGTTATACAAACCTAATAAACAAGTATGGCATTTTGAAACATGATGTGCAACCATTTTTACTGTAATGTGTGTTCTTTGTTGTTAACTAAGATGATGTTATTTTGTGTTAGTATGCACGTGGACGCTTGGACGTGGACGTGGACGTTTGGACATACCTGGAGAAGGAAGAAATGGGTCTTCGGAAAGATGGGAGTTAAAGACAAAAGGCGGAGACTAGTGTTGAAACTAGTGGAGAAACGATCAAGATGCCACCTCGTCCCTCTGGTTAGACGGCATGTCAAGTCAGGAAACAGCATTATTAGTGATGAGTGGAGGGCATACAGGAGAGTGCTGAGTAACATGGGGTACAACCACTACACCATAAACCACAGCAGGTGGTTGGTGAACCCCCAGACGGCAGTCATATCCAAAGAGCTTGGTCAACCGTCACAGGACATGTCCGTAGACTGAGAGGAAACCGTACAGCGAGTGTGTTGGAGGAACACCTCACGGTTCTTGAATGGTCATCTTGGCTCTGGTCCCCCTGATGGACTGCTTGGACGCTTGTTCAAGGATATACACAATGCCTTTCCAGTCTGAGAACCATTAGGTCCAAGTCTTTCATTTATGTCTGAGAAAAGCTTGTATGTTTAAATATGTGTATCAGTCATACTAAACAGTCATTACTTTGAGTCCTGATTTTCTTTATGTGTGAATAAAATGTTTTGCTTGGTTCTGTTGCATCTGACTTTGCATTTCATGTGAAACATGTGTATTAGGTCAGCGTGAATGTTATAACTCATTCATAAATGGACATGTGTATTAAAGTTAAAAACAGTAGTTATAAATGTTAGTGACTCATCAATAGATGGTGACATGTGTGTCACACTTTACAATAAGGCTCCCTTTGACCAATTATAAATGTTAGTAACTCATTCATAAATGGTCATAAGAGATGCCAAGAAACATCAAGATGGATGGGGGGGATCAACTCAGTGAGCAACAGATACCAAGGAAACTGGCTGATGAAGAAGACAAAGTAAGCTAAGTAGCCAATATAAGGCTTAGCAGTACAGATACATGTGGGCTCACTATTTGGCAAGCAAAGTCACAGTTGCCCTGTTTTACCTCATGTCTCATAAAAGCTTATTAAGGATTTATAAAGTGTTCACAACGTAATTAATAAATGAATTACAAACTATTCGTAACCCCGTTTTAAGGGTAGTCTTATTGTAAATACTTTTCAGTACAAAGCAATGAAGTTTGTTGATTTTTTTATGAACACTCAGGGAAAACAGTGTACCGAGAAAATGAGGCATTGTCTTAGTACCTCTCAAAACAGTGGCTTAAATTTGTCTCAACCTATGTGAGAAATAAACCTTAATGTTTATAAGTGTACAATGACAGTTCATTGTCGCCAAAACCAATATATCTGAGTTTTAAACTGCAACACTGTTTTTAAAAGAGACGAATGGACTCTGGAGGACTCTAGGTTAAAAGCTCCAGAAAACCCACGCAGATGGACCCTGAGTTAATGTGCCATATTCCTTTGGTGCATCCAACTCAAGCGCTGTCCAACAAAAAGATGAAGACCAGCAAACACAACCAACGCCCATAAGCTCAGACACACATCTTTTTCTGGGACGAGATTTCCAGCTGAACAAAAACACACTCTTTGAATTCACAAACCACCACAAAGCCCAGCACTTTGAATCCTAACTCCTAACTGGGAGCTCTCAGGTCCCAGCCGGCCGATTGGAACGCGGCCCTGTTGTCGGCAACATTTCAGCACCTTGGACAGCCACACAATAGCCAGCTGAGATCCAGCGGGAGGGGGGGGGGGGGTACGAGGACAAAAGACAGAGGAGGTGGTGGAGGAGGGCGCCGGGCATACAAAGGGGGAAAGAAGAGGGGGGGAGGGGGGGGGGAGGGTTTGGCCGCTGGGAGGCCATTCACAGAGGATACAAAGAGCCAATGTCAACTCGAGTTAAAGGACAGAAAACAGAATTAGCATTAGAGCGGGTAGCGCGGCTCCTCCATGTCTCACGGCTGGGGGAGAGGGGAGGAAGGGGATGAGGAGGGAGGACACACACACACACACACACACACACGTGTTATTTTTGAACGGCAGAAGTGGTGCACTCGCTAAAAGAATGTTTCTCGCATCGCGCTTTGTGCTTTCTGTCAGTGAAGCACAATATAGGCTTTGTTAACGGTGCAATAACGCATCTTGGTCCAACATCAGAGGCTTAAGTAATTGTGCTAAACCTATGTGAGGCTAATGTTTCCTGATTATGAAAAAGGAAGTTATCCCACAAACACTCTTGAAGTTGACTCAGGATTAACAGAAAGCTAAAGCAAATTATAAAAATGACTACTAAAACTATCTATTGTTAAGATTAGTTAAAGGTAACAGACAAATTTCCTGGTTCCACTTTGATCACATTCGCTTCCATTTCCCTACAGAGCACCACTCATAGGACGATTTGACTGTGTTCAAGTCAACTTTTACAGGCTATGCATGCTGCTCTTTATGCTGTCTATAGATAGGATATTCCCACAATGCATTGCCCAAAGGAAGGCGAAGGTTATCTGTCACATTGTACCCACACTATCAAACAGTCATATGCTACTTATTGCCTTCTCACATGTAAGATGTCACTTCCAGAGAAGCTGTTAGAAATGCCACATTTCTTTCAATCTACACAACTGGTGTCACTTTTTGAAGTCAAATAATGCAGCATTTTCTAAGAAGGGGATTCTAGCAGAGACTAAAATACCGCAGACATTTTCACCAACGGCACATTTCCTTTTACTGCTTATCCACAAGGAGCCATTCACTACTGTTAATTGCTACACTAATGACGATTCTGCTCTCCGGTAAGCTCTCAACGCCCTGAAGCAGCAGTTGTTCAAAACGCCACATGTTTTCAATTCCACAATCAGTACCCATTGACATTCGGACACATCCTTCCCCCTGATGGAGAGGATATTGAGCCTCTACATCAGACATCAAACTGATGGAGTGGATATTTCAGGAGAGGGAATTTGGAGAAAAGGCTTGAAACGCTGTGTCAGAATAGAAAGATGGAAGCAGTGGCAATCAGTCAACTCAGAAGGAGCAAAAAACATCCACCTCGTCAATCACTGGAGGAGCTGCAGGCACGCTCCACTTTCATTTTCTCCGGTCTCCCCACACAACACACACACACACACACACACACACACACACACACACACACACACACACACCACACACACACACACACCACACACACACACACACACACACACACACACACACACACACACACACACACACACACACACACACACACACACACACACACACACACACACACACACACACACACACACACACACACATACACATACACATACACACACCACACACACTAATGCAGTCCACAGCAAACCACAGCATCAAAGTAATCAAGCACAGTGTGAACAAAATGCACCTCAGGCTCGGGATGTTGACAAAGTGCTTCAGTGAAAGTTTAATGGCGCAGCATCGCCGCGCTGTATTGCTCCCCTATAGCATACAATGTTCTCTATAAGTTGTACATCCAAAGACACTTCATATTCAAAGCAAAATAAACATGATTCTCCTCATCAAGAACTCATTTCACACCCAGTCTCGTTTTGTTCTTTTTAAACAGACAAATAAGTCTTCTATTTTACATAAAGATTTGATTCTTTAAAATACAGCACTTTCAAAAAAAGGAACATTTGCATTTTGCAGAGAGCGTTGTTGATAAAATATTTGAGTGCAAAGGCACTTTCTGGAGTAAGTAGAGTAAGATTTGCCGCTTGTTGGGTTTTGAAAAGGTTTCTTTTGATGGTGTCAACACTCACCATGTGTCTGTGTCTGCTGAGTATGTACAGGAATGTCAATCTGTAGCATGTCCTCTTCTACAAAGGATAATCATTTCATACGTTTGTTTTCGTCACAAGGAAAATACAATACAGTTTCATGAAAAGCACAAAGCCGTATTTGTACACAGTCCTGCCCATTGTTTACCTGCCGTCGTCAAGGTCTTTTTAGAACTTTCCAAAAAAAGAGGAAATAATTTATATCTTTCCAGAGAAAACATAGAACTGCATAATAATATACTCCTTTTATACATCTCGAAAAACAAGAAAGAGAAGGAAAGGAAGAGAGAAAATATATTGTCAAAGGATCGGCTCCCAGTCAATCCTGTAGGATTGAACACAGATAGATAAGATAGATATAGAGAGGGCGATTATTACAGTAACTGCGTGATTATTATGAATGCTGCACAGAACCTGGGGGGGAGGGGGGGCATAGTCGCTATCTTACAGTTGGCTCATCGCAGTCTGTTTCTCCAGAACCTCCAGGTAGTCCGGTTCTGTTTTAAGCTTCCCGGGGAGCAGCAGCGGGTGCTCATTGTTTTTGGAAAGGTGTTCCGCTCCGTAGTATTTCCTGGGGGTCCCGTACAGAACCGTTTTGTTTAACCTGTCCTGGTTGGTGATATGCCGCCGGGCTGTTGCAACCTCGTAGGGGGGCACGATGCACGGTCTCTTAGGTAAAGTGCAAAAGTTGTAATGGAACGGTGGGGGTCCTCCAGCCGCGGGAAGATCTTTGTGAGGCCTTTCCCCTAAATTCTGATACAACATCTCAGGAGGTTCTGGGGAGGTCAACCCGCACATAGTTGGAGGTTTATCCATAAAATCTATTGTGCTGATGGTGTAGGCCCCTGGACTTCGGGTGAGAGCGTCCTTCTTGGCGTCCAGGGGCCCAAAGCTGAGCTCCTTCAGGGTGCGGTAGTACGCCACCTGTTCGCCATCCTTCTGCAGGTAAATAGGGTTTTGGCACATGGAGCCCACAGGTGGGGGGATGTAGTTATAAACGTGGCTTTCCGAGGCTTTGTCTTGGGTGGGTTCAGGAGTGTAGGAGCCGTATTGGACTTGAAACGAGTTCAGGTCGATGTTGTTGCTGCCAGTGGGGACATGTTCCACTCCTTTGCGTCGCTTCAGAACAAAAACAAAGAGGCCTGCGCCAAAGCAGACCGACAGGATGAAGACCACGAGAAGCCCCAGAATCAGGACTGAGAGCGGCACCTCGGGGTGCAACTCGGGGGTCTGGAGTCGAGATTCGGTTGGGCTGACTGAGCTAAAAGCAGAAGGGGTGGGGGCCTCAGTAGCAGGGCTTATCATTGTGGGGGCTTTTGTAGGGGGTGCATTTTGTGGCGTGGGGGGCTCGCTGGGCTCGGGGCAGATTGCCTCGTTGCGTAGTGACCGCAGCAGGCGACCCGCGTGCTTGGAGGGCGAATCACACGTGATCTCGTTCACCACCACGCTGGTGCTGGACAGCTCCATCCAGTTCTTGAGCGCCACAATGTCACAGGTGCAGTCCCAGGGGTTCTCCTGCAGGTCGATCTGGATGAACGCTGACAGCTGGTCCAGAACCCCTCGGACTGCCAGGTAGGAGAAGTGGTTATTCCTCAAGTTGAGTCTGGTTAGCATGGTGCCACCGAACACATTGTCAGGGAGCGACCTCAGCAGGTTGTTGTTCAGAAAGAGCAGCTGGAGGTTATGCAAAGCGTTAAATGTTTGTGGTAAAATGTCTTTGATGATGTTGTATTCCAAATAGAGATACTGCAGCGACTGCAGGCCAAAGAAAAGAGACTGAGAAAGAGATTCAATGTAATTCCCGTTCAGGTAGAGCCGTCTGAGGTTTGTGAGGTTCTCAAAGGCTCCTTCCTGAATCACTGCTATCCTGTTATTTCCTAAATGAAGCAGCTCCAGCGAGCTGTACTCAGCCAGGTCGTGTCTGTAAATCACTTGTAGGTAGTTACCAGTCAGGTGGAGTTTCTTTGGGTAGGAGGGCTTGGGGTTCAGCTCGCTGACGTTATGCAACTTTCGCTCTTGGCAATTGATATTCAATCCACTGTCAGGGTTCTGGGACGTGCACACGCACACGCTGGGACACAACATGGGCACGGGGGAGCGTGTCTGGTAAACCATTATAGGCCCAAAAACATGTTTGTCCTTTGAGATGCGAGGGGTGGGCCTGTAGCGCATTTTGGGTGGACGGGAAGCTTTGGGTGAACGGGTGGGGGTGATCATGCCGGGGAGGTAGGTCGGGGGCAGGGCCCCTTGAAAGTGAGAGTCAGAGGGGGGGTGCACACGCTCCCCAGCATTCCTGCGCGGGCACAGATCCTGCTTTATAAGCTGCGTGATGTCTTTACCGTGCAGCCTGAACGGCGTCTCGCACACGATGTCCCCCACAAACACAGTAATAGTGTCCAGCCAGGATTTGAGGGGAATCAGATCGCAGGTGCAATTCCACGGGTTCTCCTCCAGCTGGATCTCCATGATGCCCCCTACGTGCTCCAGAACCCCGGCAAACGGCAGATTCTTGAGCCGGTTGCCCCGTAAATCCAAGTGTGTGAGGAGCACAAAGCGGAAGATGTTGGGAGGCAGAGACAACAGCAGGTTGTCATTCAGGATCAGCACTTTGAGCTTATTCAGCCTACTGAACGCACCCGGCTCTATGGCGCTGATATAATTATAGTCTGCCTGTAGATACTCCAAACTCTCCAGCCCTGCGAAGCTGTCCTCTTTGATCACCTCCAGGTTGTTGTTGTTCAAGTGGAGCCGCTTGAGGAAGCGCAGCCCGTTAAAAGCGCCCGTTCGGATCTCCTGCAAGCCGTTATTCCCCAGATGCAGTGAGGTGACATTGCCATAATTGACAAACTCATTGGCGCTGAGCCGTGACAGGAAGTTTCCGTTTAGAAAAAGCTGGGAGATTTTATTTGGGGGCGCCTGGAACAGAGTGACCGTGGTAAATCCTTTATTCTCACAGTTGATGTTCAGGAGGTTATCGCGCTCCTCGCAGCTGCAGCGGGTATTGCAGATCTCTTTGGAGGAGGACGTTTTGCGGCTCTCCGTCTCGGCTGGTGTCAGGCTGGTGACCGTGAGGACGCTCAGCATGAGGACGCCGCTCAGCATTTTTACAGCCAAAAATGGTCGCTGAAATATAGATCCAGCATTTAACTTGCAGCATGAGCCGTGGATGGGGGGGGGGGGGGGGGGGGGAGCAAGGGGTGAGTTCTCAGAGCAGGGAGATAGGGAAAAAGGAGGTAGAGGCGCTCACACACACAAACACTCACGCACACACAAGCGCACAGGCACAGCCGTTACTGGGTGTTAAAACGGGGCCGTAGAGTCTCTCCATTGACCTTCACTTTGGTTAAAAATCCAAAATCCTTTCCCATAAAAAGAAAACAAAATCAATCCAGGAAAAGAAAAAGAGCCAAACCATGAGAAATGAACTGGATTCTATGTGGTGGATGGACTTGGCACATTGTCAGATGCATAAGGGAGTCGGGGGGGGGGGGGGGAGAAAGCCGCTTACTGCAACCCCTTTTTCCTTCCAGAGAGCGCAGATTTACTCTTCACGCAGATCCCCAGCAGCTGCAGCCAGATATTCACAGAGAGGCTGCCCCTCTTTCCCTCCACACAGAAAAAGCACTTCATTTTAGTCCAGGCAAAAAAAGAATTCACTTTTGTTTTAAAGATCCAGAAATAATGCGCAAAGACGCACCATGACGCGCGGCCGGCTCTCCTTTAGCGCCTGGTCCGGAGAGGAGACGGAGAAAAGTGAACTCTGGGGCCGAGAGAGACACTGAGAGGGGGGAGAGATATTCCCGGAGCTGAGGCATGCCGACGGTCCTCCTCCTCCGCTCCGCACACTGAGAGAGGCACAGAGCGTCTGCTGCTCCTGCCTCACCGCGCTCCTGTGTGTGTGTGTGTGTGTGTGTGTGTGTGTGTGTGTGTGTGTGTGTGTGTGTGTGTGTGTGTGTGTGTGTGTGTGTGCGTGTGTGTGTGTGTGTGTGTGTGTGAGGGAGAGAGAGAGAGAAAAAAGTGGGAGGGAGGAGAGGGGCCGTTACGTCACCAACACAGTCAACAGAGACACACACACACACACACACACACACACACACACACACACACACACACACACACACACACTCACACACACACACACACACACACACACACACACACACACACACACACACACACACACACACTCACAGATTAAGTAGATATCAACATTATGAATTTTAACAATTCCTCATTGATTTGAAATCCAATTTTATAATTTTATTTTAAATGCAATTATACATAATTCAGTAAAAAAATATCTAAACTTCGCTTGTTTTAACTGTAATTTTGATTATTTTTAAAAGAGGTTTATTATTATGGTTGTCTTCATTTTATTGCGACTCTCTTTATATATTTTAAGAATAACAATTGAAATTCATCTATAACCTGTTACATTATGTAAATCATATTTCATTACTATTGTATTTATTTTTTTACCATTTAAAGTGCATTTCTAAGTTTCCATAAACATAAATACCATGACTGTAGAGCGGGGTGCCGATAAACAGGAAGCACAGAAGCCTTCAGATAAGCATTCAGCAGCAGACTATAAACAGATGTGATCGATCTGATATCAGATCTGACTGTTGCTCCATCAGGAGTCTGCTCTCTTGTCTTTACCCATGGTGCCACCAGGGGGCAGGAAAGGCCTCTTCAGTCCGTCTCATTACCCTTCTGTTTCCTGTCTCATTATCACTCAGTCACACAGATGGGATGATTATGGGATTAGTTTAGTTTCATAAAGATAAAGCAACACTTTCTCAGAATAAAGCAAAACTAAGAGTTTAAGAGAAAAAGCTAAATAAAATAAATATAAAACTATAAGTTGCAAATAAATCATTCGTGTAATCATGTAAACTATAAGTATTTTTCTTTGTTTTAACATAGGTTTTTGTTTGCAGTTCTTGTTTCTTCTTTCTCAAAGATCAGACTTGTGCTCTCGCTGCAGCTCTTCTCTTTTGCGCTCCCTCATTTTTTGTTTGAGATTCTGACACAAACGATTTTTCCCGCCCACTGAAGGACTCGTTTGATGGAATTTTTCAAATCACAATGGAGACTCATCACGGAGGTGATGAGTCCGCCCACGGTGCACTTTGGGTCGGCCTTGGTCAAGCCCTTTTGACCCCCACAGCCTGGTTCTCGTAAAAGTTTTTCGCTCAAATGACACCATGGAGGAATGTAACGGGAGTTGATAGGGGACTCTGCCCGCCTCACGAGTGCCTATTTTCGGACACTTTTTTTCACTTTGGCTATTTCACATTTGCCCCCCCCCCCCCCCCACTCATGGCAAACGCGACCCACTGTCGGAGGGCCTCCGCGCCGGCCCGGCCTAGTGCCGGTGCTCTGGCGGTCGGTTCCTCTGAACTGCGGGTTCGACTCTGATGGCCGGGAGGGTGTACTGCGTTGGGGTGGGGGACTTCCCCCACTCTGCGTGTCTCTTCCTTCCCGGGCCGGCTGATATGAAGCGTGACCAAGACGCACTGTCCAGGGGTCCCACGGGTCACGCAGCGGGGTGGAGGGTCGCACGGGTCACGCAGCGGGGTGGAGGTTCCCAGCTCCCCACCTCCGCCGCGTATATATATATATATATATATATATATATATATATATATATAGGGACACCTTGTATTGTAGTTAATATCAGTACAGTATCACTTTTCATCACTTAGATTGATTGAACTGTTCTGCCCTTACAGCGCATATCCCTATGCGTAGCTTGACAGTTTACATTTAAAAGTCCTCCAATAAAGATGCAAGGTTTTATTTCTTGACTTTACTGTTCTTCTTTTACTTTGTAAAACTGTAACAATACAGAAATAAAACACATATAAGTATGCAGGCTTTACATAACATATAAGTAGCACTGTACAAACGACACACATACTACTATTAGGAATTAGCTATCATTAGCATCACTATTAGCTAGCACACGTCAGAATCGTCACTTCCTGTACTGACATTACATTACATTGCATTTAGCTGACGCTTTTATCCAAAGCGACTTACAATAAGTACATTCGACCAGGAAGACACAACCTTGAAGAAAACAGAATCATATAAGTACATCAGGTTTCATAGAGCAAAAACATTTCAAGTGCTACTCAACTGGCTTTAGATAAGCCAGTCCTTTATTAGTATATAAGTGCTTTGTTAATAGTTCTATCGCTCGAAGTGGAGTCGAAAGAGATGAGTTTTCAGTTTGCGCCGGAAGATGTGCAAGCTATCTGCTGTCCTGATGTCAATGGGGAGCTCATTCCACCATCTTGGAGCCAGGATAGCAAACCCACGTGTTTTTGCTGATGGGAACTTGGGTCCCCCTCGCAGCGAGGGTGCAGCGAGTCGTTTGGCTGATGCAGAGCGTAGTGCACGCGCTGGGGTGTACGGTTTAACCATGTCCTGGATGTACGAAGGGCCAGATCCATTCGCAGCATGGTACGCAAGTACCAGTGTCTTGAAGTGGATTCTAGCAGTTACCGGAAGCCAGTGAAGGGAGCGGAGGAGCGGAGTGGTGTGGGAAAATTTAGGAAGGTTGAAGACCAGACGAGCCGCTGCATTCTGGGTGAGCTGCAGAGGTCGGATGGCACATGCAGGTAGACCAGCCAGGAGGGAGTTGCAGTAGTCTAGGCGTGAGATGACGAGAGCCTGGACCAGAACCTGCGTCGCTTTCTGTGTCAGCTGGGGACGTATCCTCCTGATGTTGTAAAGCGTGTATCTGCAGCAACGGGTTGTAGCAGCGATGTTTGCAGTGAAGGACAGGTTGTTATCTAGGGTCACACCCAGATTCCTTGCAGTCTGAGTCGGGGAAACAACTGAGGTGCCGATGTTGATTGTTAGGTCAAGAGTGGGACAATCTTTTCCCGGAAGGAAGAGCAGCTCAGTCTTGTCAAGGTTGAGCTTGAGGTGATGAGCAGACATCCACTGAGAGATGTCAGCTAGACAAGCAGAGATGCGTGCGACGACCTGGGTCTCTGAGCGGGGAAAGGACAGAATGAATTGGGTGTCATCAGCGTAGCAGTGGTATGAAAAACCATGCGGGCTAATGACAGATCCGAGCAAGTTTGTGTACAGGGAGAAGAGGAGGGGACCAAGAACAGAGCCCTGAGGGACCCCTGTAGTTAATTGACAAGGGTCGGACTCAGACCCTCTCCAAGTCAGTGACAGTGGAGGTGTCCTGAGAGTGGAGGTCTGCACCGGAACTGTCCTGAGAGTGGAGGTATGCAGGCAGACCCCTCTCGCAAACTCCGGAGTCCACTCGGCCACGTTAGTGTCGGTGTCTCCTGGGGAGTTTCATGAACATATCGGACTTATCTTATGGATTGCTGTGCATTATACTTGTGTTGTGTAGTTTATACTTTATTCCAACTTTAAATATTTTAATACCTGAACACACTGCTGCTGTTCAATAATTTCCCAATTTGGGATCGATAAAGTGTCTGTCTATTTATTTATTTATTTTATAGATTAAAAAAACACATCTATGTATTTTCAAGCGAAAGGTGATACACAATATAAACTGTATACTGTTCTTTTTTCAAAGTCATGTTACATTTCAAAAGCATATATTGCTATGTTTAGGACAAACAATTAAAGACTGCTTTAATTTAACAAATTCTGCAATATAAAAGTGGCAGATTTGTTATCATTGTAACATGTAACAGTAATTATAAAGGCACACTAACGCAGTATATCACTATTTGAGGTTTCAATATACTTTGTAAGTCAAACCAAATAAATGTATTATGCATCTAAACATTTTCTGGTGGAAATGGAGGATTCCAAAGAGTTTACCCTTTAATCGTCGCACACAATCACAAAGCACTGAATGCAAAGTCATATTTAGCCTCTGCAAGTAACCTTTCCTATAGGAAAGGTTACTTGCAGAGGCTAAATATTACTCTGCAACAGCTGCCCACTGCGCCCGTGGGTTAGTGAGAGGAACTGGTGCTTTTCTCTGGGGCCAGATTAGCCTTTATTGGAGAGTGACAGTGTTAAGAGGTGAAGATGGAGAGGATGACATGGGTAAGGCAGGGTTTGAACTTGCATCTGCCAGGGACTGAGCCCCCGTACCTGGGCCACCAGCTCAATGCAGCCCATCAGGTGCCTTGCTAAAGGGCAACTTGACCAAAGACAGAGCCTTTGCTGTTGCAGCTCCAAAGTTATGGAACAAATTACCCCTCCAGGATAGACTTGCTCCAACTCTGCCTGTTTTTAAATCTCGCTTAAAAACCCACTTATTTTCCTTGGCTTTTACTGTACAGACCAGGTGACACTTGTGCTGTAAAATGTGGTTTTTATTTATTTATTTTTTACCTTACTAGTGTTTTGTATTGTTTTTACATCATATAGGAGAGTTTTTTCAGTCGGTGGCTTCTGATCTGGTTTCATTGTCTCGTATTACATTTGTTTCATGTCCTGTCTGTTTTTATGTATTTTTGCTATGTTTTTATACAGTTGTTGATGTACAGCACTTTGTTCAACTCTGTTGTTTTTAAATGTGCTATATAAATAAAATGGATTGGATTGGATTGGACCATGTCCAAGAGGCAAATTCAAATGACCAGTTAACACCCCATACTTAGTCTGTTCTGCAAGTCCCTATAGTGTAGAGTTATATTTGTATTTATTCATGTTAGCAAACTATGGATAAGCTTAAAATGAGAATAATTTGGGTAAAACTGTGAGCTGCATTTGGGGCCTGTTGACATGTGTTTTTGAGGACAAAGGAAGATGGGGGAAGGTGAGAGCATGTCCTGATTTGCATTCAACTTAGATCTAGCTGCAGTGTTTGTGATGTTAAGAGAGGTCCCTTGGGTTTCTCTGGTGGTTATCAATAGTAGCAGTTAA